GCCAAGTATTCGAATTTCGGGTGCCCCCGTTCGGGTTAGGTGCAGCGCCCTACATGTTCACCAGTGATGAAACAGGTAGTGCTGCTGCTTCACCAGATGTCAGTACACCTCAATCCGTACCCAGACTTCCAGTTACCAACAACCCGGGCAAGGGGTAATAGCCAAATGCGTCAGGCTAAGACGGGATTTACTCCACCAGTTGGGCTCATTAGTAAATCGACAAGTCCCACCTCGACCCAACGTACAGTTGGTGTCCCTGGGCATGGAGTTTTGACACAGAGGTAAGCTTGGCTTAGCTATTTCAAGCGTATTGCTTAGCGCTAAGCAGCCTAGCCGAATGCCTAGTCAGCGTTCCCTCGGTGTCCCTCCGTGAACTAATACGGATCATCGAAATGATGACCTTGGTTTGAAGGGTCATTTCCCAGGCCGCACTACGCAGCCGCCCGGTATAACACTTGTTATAATGCCGAGCTCTCCTATGGGAACTAGATAGGCGGGTTTCGATCTCGGACCAAGTGAAGGAAGCCCTGCCCTGGTGGTCGTCACTGGCCAACCTCGGACAGGGGAGCCCCTTGGGCACGCTCGCCGCAGGTATGACTCTGGTAACAGCGCATCTATTGGGCCAACAAGCCCAAGGATATGGCCCCCGCATTAGTTTCGGGACTGCCATATCAACCGGCTCGAACTGAGAGCAGTGAACTTAGCACTACCACGCTTTCTACCCGTAGTTTGAGACCACAGAGTCCTGCTCCGCACAAGCAACGCAGCGGTGGTCTCCTTCAGGAAGGAGGGGGGACGCTTTCCCCATCGTTGTCAGTCCTAGTGGAGCAAAATCTTCCTTTGGTGCCTGGAATACAATGTGGAGCTAGCCGCACACCACCTTCCAGGGGTGAGGAACAGTCTGGCGACGCCCTTTCAGGGCGGCTTCGTCTCCAGAACACGGAGTAGCTGATACCCCAGTGGGTAGCCTCTAGGCTGTTTCGGCCGTGGGACGGTTCAAGGTTGGACCGTTTTGCCGCACCCCGGAACGCAAAGCTCCGGACGTACGTAACACTCCTGCTAACTCCAGAAGCCTGGGCCAGGGTCGCTTTGCTCGCCCCGTGAACCCACTTAGTTGTGTACACCTTTCCTCCCTTCCCGCTAGTTCACCAGGCACCGGAGAAAACTTCGACAGGGGCACACCCGCATATTAACATGGGTTGCACCCAATTGGCCAAGCAAGGCCTACATATGTAGTTTCCACTTCTGTTGGAAATGCTAGTCGAAGCGTCAGCAGTGCTTCCGGACTTACCGGACCTGCCGTCCCAACCAGACGACGCACTACCAACGAGCCCAGCAGGTATCACTTACACGCATAGAGGCTCTCTATACGAATACGAAAGCACATACGAAAGCCTTATCTGAGCGGGCTGCCAACGTCCTGGCCAGGGCGAACAGGGATTCCACCTACGCGGCCTACATTTCTAGGCCGCAAGCATACGTTGATTGGTGTAGCGAAAGGGAGATTGATCCATACCAGGTAGCAGGCTCCTTCGTCCACCTGTTTGACGAAGTAGGTTTGTCCTAAGCAGCGAGTGTTGGCTACAGGTCAGTCTTGTCCCCCACCACTCAGAACATACGGGAACAAGACTAGCCGATTGTCCTATTATTAGGAAACTATTTACTGCTTTCCAGACGCCCAGACCCCATACAAGGGAGCCACCCAACTGGGACTCATCGGCTGGGTTGTCTGCTCTAAGCAGACCGCCCTTCGAGGCTCTCCAATCAGCACCACTCAAATTTTTGATGTGGAAAATAGTCTTCCTACTGGCCCTTGCCTCAGGTAGGTGCCGGTCAGAGCTAGGCGCGCGCCGTCCTTCGCAGACGGTTGTGCCACTTTTATGGACGATCAAGTTGTACTAAAGACACGAATCAGGTTTCTTGCCAAGAACCAAATCCCAGGACACAATCCTCAACCGATCGTCATCCCCTGGCTGGGAAATATTGTCAGTCCAGAGGATCAGGAGGAATTGCTTCTCTGCCCGGTCCGAGCGCTGAGTTGCCATGAGAACCGTACCAGGTTTTCTAGACGGGGAACCAAACACATGTTTTTGTGTTACGGCCCTGGCAAACAGGATAAGCCAGCTTCCCCGACTTCCATCTCCAGGTGGATTTACTGCGACTGTACTGGAGGTCTATAATACACTATCCTCCTCAACACAGACCTTGCAGAGACACCAAGTACGAGAACATGAGGTCCGTGCGATTGCTAACTCACTAGCGCTAGCGTCAGGTGCCCCCTCAAACACATTCTGAGGGCAGGCTTCTGGAGAACGCGGAACCTCTTCATCAACTACTACCTAAGAGACACCCAATCTATTGGTGGGTAATTGAACGTAGTGAATTTAGGCGAGGGTTCTCCGAACCCGCCTATTCACATAGTTCATACCCACCATAGACTCCAGGTCG